TAAATTGTCATATCCCTGCCTATAGTATAGGCTCCACTATATCGCCACTGTTGCTGGTAAATTACTTGTCTTGTTTTCTCAGCATAGGGAAAACATTGTGACCTAAAGAGAGCTTTTGAGGATGAAGGGTATTGAGGATTAAATATGTGGAATGTAGCATTGTCACAGTTATCTAATTTTTCTATCAGAGAACCACTGTGGGTGTTGGTCACCACTGAATTGGTTTAGTTTTAAATGGTAACAATCATGTGTAGGTTTTCAGAACTGAAAAGGACGTGAAGGATGCCCCTATATTTGTTTGTGCCACATTATTTTAGAAATTTTATGCTTATAGAGAGATTATGTGGTTACTATTGGTAAAATCAGCATGGGCTTTTTAGGAAAATGCTCATTTAATAAGGAAAGAACCTCTTTGTGTGTATTTATGCTGCAGAGTTTAAGAAGTCATTTTGGGACTGAAGTCCATCTTCTTTCCTTTTTGCTAATGCAAAATGGCTGGTAGCTGTGACCCAAATTAAGAATGCTAGAGGCGAACTTGAGGTGCAGTTGAAAGGAGCGACTATCTGGGTTACTCAGTTCATATTTATTCTCTAATTCCTGGATGTTCTTAGTAGTCATGTTTTTTTCATTTGTAGTTATTTAGCTGTGTTTTATCCTTTAATGTGGACAGCAACAAGTTTCAAAAAAACAGTTTACTCAGGATGTTAGGAAAAAGTGTATGTGCCAACACAAAGCAAGTTTCTTGGGTGCAGGCTAGCTTGAAAATTGCTACACAGACAAACTCTGGGTCTAGACTTTGTTTTAGTTTATGCTGCTGGATTTAATGCCCTTACAACTTGGGCATTGAGGCATGACTTATTACAAAAAATACAGCAGCACAGTTTGTTCTGTTTCATTTGCCTGGTATGTTTGGTGTTCAGGGATTAAGGGAGGAGAAAGGACCAACTATCCAGAATGCTTTGTTAAGAGGAGGGAGTAAATTTGATTGTCGTCAGCTCTGGATTTCCATATGAGAGCTTAAAAGCCTGTAGCTTGTGAAGATTGCTCTAAAAATAGCTTCGGTGAAGAGTTGGCAGTCAGGTCCAGTTTCAGGTTCTAGCTGAGTTAGCTTTATTAAACTTTTTTTTGCCACTGTTGCAAGACTAGATTGAGGGTAACTCGTTCCTTGTTCCACCTTGGATGTTGATTTTGGATTCCAATATACTTATTTTATCCATGGATAAAGAACACTAGTGCCATGGCTGAAGATTCAGGTATAATTCTAACCTTTGGCAGAAATGAAAAAAATGCATAATTGTACTTTGGCTGTGTCTGTCTTTTGTGCTCAGCTGAATAAGGAGCATATTGTAGTATGTGGGTGTTTTGGATTCAGTTTACTATTTTGCTCTGCATCACAAACTGCTTTTATTTTTGCTATTTAAATTAATTCTGAAGTAGAGATCTTTTTTTCCCTAGATTTTTATGGTAGGTGGTCAGTCATACTCAACATAGGTTTTTAGCATAGTATTCCTATTAAAATAGAAGGCTTTTTTTTTACATGTGAAGGTTTCACTTGAGCTTGCTTGCTTTATTTATTTTATTTATTATTTTTTTAAAGTAGAGCACATTTCCGAACGTATTAAGAACCATAAGTAAATGAACAAATTTGTTCCCACATAACCTCTTTATTCATAGAAACTATTCATAACCAGTAGCTTAACATTTGTTATTGAGGAGTATTATGTAGTTCAAGACACTTATGGTATCTGTATAAAGACATATGGCAGGGTAAGCAAAGGCTTACCAGATATGGAAACTGACCTATTTTCTACATAGCTGATATGTGCGGAGAAAGGGCTTCAAAGTTGAATTAACTCCCTGGAATGAGTTCAAAACCAGAGTTAGTATTCCTTAATGGTTAGCTAGCTTTTAGCTCTGACTCTATGTATGTATGTTTGCTTCTGTAAATGATGGATGAATCTTATAGTGAAGAATTGAACATTTTCTTTTTTTTTTTTTAAATGGTTGCAAGTTAGAGCAGATCTGTTTTGTTTGATTTCTGCATAGTAAAATTGTTCAGAGCACTTAAAGGTGGGGAGTCAAAGCTTGTAAATGGAAGCTACACTTGTAACAGATGATATTTGTGTTGTAGGGTCTGATTCTGCGAGACTTGGATAAAACTGTTCTTTAGAAGTGGAAGTCTGCAGCAGTAATATTAGGTTACTTATTTAATTTAAAAAGCTATTATTTAGATGTCCTGTCTTGTTGCTTTGTGGTACACAGTCCTTTTTCCAGAGAGACAGTGGTAAAGAAAATGCCACGAGAGAAAAGAGTATAGAAAAGAAATGGAAGTATAAAATAGAATCATGCTATATTTGCTCATGCAAATACAAATAGTTTTCTTTACTATATCATATGATCTTTGTCACAGACTTCTTTAAAACACCCATTTAATATAAACTGTTCTTACAAGTACATAATCACAATTATGTTTCATAAGAGTTGGATGTGTGGTGGTTTAGCTTATAAAATAGCATATTTATCTATGCTCTCTCTAAACATTCAGTAACTTCTTAGCCAGGGATTTTTTTTTCATATGATTTGTAATATTTGCTATATATATTACACCTTGTTTATCGTTGCCTGCAAGCTTCCCTTGTGAATTTAACCACTAATCACTAGTGTATTGAACTATACTCATGTGTCCGCGCATGAGGTTAAACTGTCCTAGTCTCTTTCTAAAGATTAGTGGAAACACCATACTGGGGGAAAGTTATGGTTAGAATGTCAAAGAAACAGAATTCTATACTTTATAAACAAAAATCTGTGCTTCTAGGACCAATATTAAATAGATTTTTTTTCTCCACTATAAATATTGCATCAGTAACAACTGAGCTGATGCGGCTGTTTTTGTGACTGTCTTTACTCTGCATATAAAGCAATAAATAGGGTGAAGGGTTAGCTTAGTATGTCTGTGATCCTGACATCAAGCAGGGACTGGAAGCCCTTCTGCACTGACTTTCCCTCCCCTCCCACCCTTGCCATGTAAGTCAGGTAAAGAGGCCACCACTATCCCTACTTCCTCTACCCTTATCAGGGCTACTACCTTTTAGTGTGGCTTTTTGTGTGTGTTTTTTGTTTTGTTTTGTTTTAAACTTGTGATCATTTAACATTTAGGTCTCATTTTTCCTAATTAATCATATTAAAGATGGCAAACAAATATTTGACCTGGACTTTATATGATAATACTGATATTAAACACAAATCTTAATCACAGTACATTAGTGATGCTTAAATATTCTTTGCATTTGAAAAATGTATAACGTATCTTTTTAATTCAGTAAAGATTTGGCCTAAACTATTTGGGTTAACTCTGTTGTCTGGCAACCTTTGAAAAGTTGAGTCATTACAATAACTTTGCTGCTGTATTGTCTGATCATAATACCCTTTTGTAAAGTTTTTACTTTTCCCTAGTGGGTTTGAAGTGCATGCACACGGCACATCTAAATAATCACTAGTTCCTTTTCCTTCTAATTAATTGTACTGGCAGACTCCCTTCACCTGTGAGAAAATCCAGGAAAAAACTGTATTCTGTTTTTCATTTTATTTGTGTTTATAACGTGGTGTGTGTTCTTTTAAAAAATGTAGTTAATCTTTTTTGGTATTTTTACTTTTATTTTAAAAAAAATGAGTTTTCTTATTTCTAGCTGGATTTTTTTCATTGTAACTTTAAATGTAAATTTAATATCTCCAAGAAACCTCGTGAAGGTTTGCAAGATTTACATTGGAAAGCAGGGACTACCTGTCTGATACTTCTGTGAGCAAGTGGGTGGGGAGTAGGAATAGCACTGGATCTGCCGTTGCTTGCCAGCAAGAATTGTTGGCTAGGTACACAGCAGGGAGTAAACTGCTGTATGAAAATGTTTTGAAGTAACCTTTTCCCTAGAGCAAGGGGGAAACGGGAGAAATTTTGATGCTCTAAGTCACATTTCTTTCTCTGCCCTTAATAAAGGGATGCTCATACCAGATTGTAATTTTATAATTTAGCCCTGTGAGTTGGGTACATAATATACTAACTCTGTTTTTAACATGAAGGCTTTAGAAACTTTTGGCAAATGGATACAATTAATCTCGCTGCTATTCATTTGCCTCGTCCTTTTTGAGCAGTAAAGAAGGGAACAACAAGGTGGCTGCGTTGTAGATCAAAACCCGTAATGTGTTCTAGCATTTGAACTCTGTCTACACAAGTGACAATGATGTGTGGTTTTTTTAAATGAGTTAGCTCAGTCAATTTATCTTAACTAGATAGAAAATCCCGTTTAAACCAGTGTAGATCTGATTTAACACGTCTTAGATCCTTTGATCTGATCATATTGTCACCTTCGTGGGGGCCTAGGAAACAATACAACCAATTTAAACCATCTAAAAGGAGTTAAACAGTGTATATGCAGGCATTAAGGAGGCGGATGTTCAATCGAGTTAGCTTCACTCATTTAAAAAACACCCTTTTTGCCTGCATATGCAAACCCTCTCTATTACAATTACTATTAATAATAAAGGAGATAATAGTAGTGAAAGTAACTTAAACCTGGTCTAAAATTTATGTCAACCTGTCTCACTTGGAGTTAAGACGATTTAAACTCTGGTACTGAGCCCAGAGAACGGATAGGTCAACAGATGAATTTTTCCGTTGACCTAGCTACTGCCTTTCCAGGAGGTGGATTTACTACATTGATTGGGAAAAACCCTTTCTGTTGCTGTAGCAAATGTCTACACTATGCTATGTAGTGTTATGGTGGCACTAGGTAATGCTATAGTGGCATAGCTGCAGCTATGCCACTGTAGTGCTTGTAGTGTAAACAGCCTTTCAAAAGTTATTGAGCACTTGGTACTACAGAAACATTATTCTGTCATGATAGAATACGTTACTTGCGCAGTTTGTAAAAACATGCATCCTTTTATAATAAAATATTATGCCTTCTGATAGTAACCCAGTTTCCATGTTTACACATATTTAACAGAGACAAAGCATGGAGGAAACAAGAATGGGAAGAAAGAAGGCCTCTCTGGAAGCTCGTTTTTCACCTGGTTTATGGTAATAGCACTGCTGGGAGTTTGGACATCAGTAGCAGTTGTTTGGTTTGAACTTGTAGATTATGAAGAAGTTCTAGGTAAGAACTTTAATTTCTTAATATGTATAATATAGTGCGTCAGAAAATGTGCTTCTTGTATCTTCATTCATTGAATTGAAGCATTTTCCGATTTCAGGAAGAAAGACTGAAGATTTAATCTTGCCTTCAGATAGATGGGAGCACATCACCAATTTGTAAATTAACTACTGCACATATATTTGCAAGTGTATTATTTTTACTAGATAAATATGTCAATGGACACCTGGTATGATAGGATGCGTACTGTGCTTTTTGTATCATGTTTAAAATTCACCGTTCTGATAGTATTTGTTTTGTGTTTTTTTTTTTTTTAAAACTTCATGTTTATTAGGCGCTAAGAAATCTGTCCAGTCTTCACCTAGCTGATGCTTTGTTAGTTTGTACTTGATCTTTGATGCAGGTGAATCTAGGAGGATATTATAATTGACCTGTATGTAAGGTTCAAACATCTGATTAAAAACCTGATAGGGTCTGATGATGATGCAAATAATGATTTTTGTATTTTTACCATGCATGCAGCCAAAGCAAAGGACTTCCGTTATAACTTGTCAGAGGTACTTCAAGGTAGGCTATTGGGAAACAAACTTCTTTCACTCTCCCTGGAATTAAAATTTCATGCTAATCATATTCTGTTTTACTCTTTATTTTAACTTTTAAAAAAATTTCTTTCCTTCAGTCATTATTCAAATAAAAGACTCCGGCATTTTGTTATTTCTAACTTTTTTCTTCCTATTCTTGGAGAAATTCAGTTCTTCTTACTAGCTGAATGTTACAGAATTTCTAACTATGTACTTCAATCTGAAAATCAACAGCAATAATTTAGATTTCATTGTTGCAACAGAGTAGTGATGGCTTATTTATAGTCTATTCTGGACCTGTTCCTGGAATTCTGCTTCCACCAAACTGTCCTATTTTATAAACTATATTTTAGTTTATTAAAATTTTCTGTAGGATTATTTTTTTGTGAAGAACAGGAAAATAGTGGTTAACATTTATTTTTATTTTTGTATAAATTTTTGCCCCTGTGTTAGTGGTTGGTAACCCTTCTTTCCTCAAGGGAAAAGCAATGGCATGCTCAGAATAAACTGATAGGCTGTAAGAACCTCTAAATTTTACAACTCCTCCCCATGATCTTATAGCTTTGTGATTCAGGCTTGAGTTTTGCCATGATAATTGAGATATATCAAAAACTAATTAAGTATTAAATGACCTACTAATTGATTTGTTGATCCCAGGAAACATCTTCTTTTAGATGACATAGTTTTAGGTAATACTTTATTTTCTAGAAGAGACTACATTCCCCTGAGTGTTTACTCTATATGGCTGCTAAAGCTACTGTGGCTGAAATAAAAGAAAAGCAAGATCTCTCATGTTTTCATCATGTATTAAAAATCCTTACTAGATTTTACTGATTAAGGCAGCTACCATTTATGACATGTTGCTTTTGCTTCTCCGTGTATACCATTTTGGGTCATGACTAGTGATGATGATATGCCCTGGATGATGATTAGTTTCTTAGCTACAGTAAACCTATGTAGCCATTGGTGAAATGTCTGTGAATTCTTTCCTGCTTTTTGTGGGATATGGGCTGCTTCTGTTCCACTAACCCAATACTGAAACCAGTCTACCATAATTTTAACTGTCCAATAACATATATATGGGAAGTGTCTAGAATAGCAGTCAGTATGAAGAGAGAAAAAAAGAAATGGTGATTAGATTGCATAAATTTGTTTGATTACACCCTTTCAGATTGCTCGTGGTCATACAGCTAGCTTTGAATTCAATACATTCAGATAAAGTGCACAATTTCTAATTGAATTATATACTTGCTGTTGTGTGTGACAGACTAAAGAAATTATGCATTGAAATAGATATCGACCTTATACTCCATTAAGAATCCTATTTAGAGAATGTGTTGTACTCAGTATGGTTTTGCTGTTTTCCACATGACTAAAATTGAATTAGGCAGACAGAGGCTAAACCATTAAAATATATATAATATTTACAACCCACTGTATATAATGAACACATGTTGAACATATTACTTTGGAAGCATTTTACTGAAGTCTTTCATCCTTATCCCTTCTTTTTTGCGTTTTAGGCAAGCTTGGGATATATGATGCTGATGGAGATGGAGATTTTGATGTGGAAGATGCCAAAGTTTTGCTAGGCAAGTACACACAGAACTTTTTGGATTACAATCTGAAGTCTATGTAACATACCCTTCATATTTCATATTGCTTGATTTTGTCTCACTTTATGACATTAAGTGATTAAATTGGGAAATAGAGAAATACCCTAAAAATATAATTCTTTGCATGAAAATTGTAGGAACTTTTTTTCCTCTACAAAGTAGGTAGAATTATTTATTACCTCACATTACTTGACTTTAAGATCCTCAGACCTCAAAGTATTCACTTATCATTATACCAAGAATTTTTAAAAATTGATTATTTTATGTAAGATGGACCAGTACTTAAAACGCTCACAGTATTACAGCATTGTTCAAACATGTGTCAGGTCCATTGTAAATCAGGTTGTAGTAGAAATAACTAAATATTATATAAATGCTTTCTATACATTAAAAGTATGAGCATTTTGCCTTTATTGTCTGTTGTCCCTCAGAGGGGTCCTGAAAGCTCCAAAGATCACTGTTTACTTCCTTTGCCCTTCAAAGGTCTTGCATAACCTTGACTATCCCTTTGACATAGAAAAAGCCTAGTCTAGGCTTCCTCTGGAGCACACCAACATTACTCCATTTGTGGCTAGAGAATACCTTTTCCTGTATTCACCTGGAATTTTAGTGGAGATATTTCTAGAACATAAACTTCAGATATTATTCATGTTAATGTACTACATCAGATTCATTAAGACCTCTGGACCACCATGTCTCAAACTTGGATCAAGACTTGCACGGTTATTTCATATGTAGCTGAAAATAAGTTCCATGTTGGGTTTTGACTTCAGTTTATTCTTCTTTTCTTTTTCTCTTGTTCAAATTAACCTATTCAGAGTTCTGGGCACATATATAAATGTTACCAATAAAAACAATACATATACTGGTCGGACTGACATCCAAACTGAATCCTTCTGAATCTCTCCCACAATTCCCTTCCACTCTATTATAACAACATTGATCATCACAGTCTTTTAAAAAAAGGTAAATAGGGAGCCTGAATAGAAGGAAATAAGGAGCAATATATTGATCTCAAAACTCACCTCACTGTTGAAACTAAAGAGAAAATAATTTGTGTACTTGTTGAATAGAAAACTTTGAGAAATTGTTACTCAGTGTACAAAGCTGGTGAAATACTTTGTCATCAAATGGAATTGGAAAGAGTAACTGAAAAATTTCAATTCAGTGTCCTGAAATTACCTGTACTGTTTACATCTTGATGGTGCATCACTGCAAAATATTACATAAGAACAGCCATACTGGGTCAGTGGCTAATGCCAGGTGCTTCTGAGGGAATGAACAGAATAGGCAATCATCAAGTTGATCCATCCTATGTTGCCCATTCCCAGCTTCTGGCAAACAGCGGCTAGGGACACCATTCCTACCTATCCTGGCTAATAGCCATTGATGGGCCTATCCTCCATGAATTTATCTAGTTCTTTTTTTGAACCCAGTTATAGTCTTGGCCTTCACAACATCCTCTGGCAAAGAGTTCCACAGGTTGACTGTACGTTGTGTGAAGAAATACTTCCTTTAGTTTTTTTTTTTTTTAAACCTGCTGCCTATTATTTTCATTTGGTGACCCATAGTTCTTGTGTTGACGCCACACTTCAGTGCAAACTTCTAGTATAGAATCAGAACATTGTGCATGCTCTCTGAACGGCCATTTAGTGCTACCCTCCCCGATTCCTGTCTGAAGAGAGAGGCAAGAATCTTTGTTCTTCAGTCCATTTGTTTAGTTCTTCTGTTTAGGGAGAGAACTCCTGAGATCAGAGCTACATTTAGTCTGCTGAAGACAGGTAGAGCAAGAAGAATTCTAATCAAACCTATGACTATAGGGCTGTGTGTGTCTGTAGAGCTACAGATTGGGAGCTGGCACTGAACATTACACATGCTTGTATTTTATCTTGTTTTTTGTCAACTTATGATAAACTCTAACAGATTTTTTTTCCTGTAATCATTCTGCAAATCTGAATTTTCTCATGGTGTATATAAATAGGACAATACTCTGAATATTGCTTTCATGGCCGTCTCATTCTGGCTGCATAGCTGGTAGCAAGATACATGTGTTGCTCTTTGATACATCTCCACTTTTACAGAACTTGATATGATTGGGGATTCTGCCAGTTCTGTGACACTGCTTCTATAATAAACTCACCTTCCAATGTGCATAAAACATAAATACTGTCTCCTTTAAATATGTTATAAAAGGTCACAGATCAGTTACTATTTTTCCCCTCTAAATACTAGTTTTGAAATATAATTTTACTGTTACAACAATATGTTCTGGAGGATGGGAAAAATAATGGGTGGTTTTAAGTAGTTCTGTTGCAGATTAATACACAAACTTTAGGAATTAAAAAAATAAAACTGGTCAAGCCATTCCATAGTATGATTTAATTGCAGTTCACATTTTAGGAAAGAAATAGATAGTAGCCAAGGGACTTGGTTCTGTTAATAATCTTGTATAAATAGATAATAATCTGTATAGTACCATATATATATTCATAGGGCTCTAAAGACAAGTAAAAGAAATGACCCTGCCCTGAGAAACGTGCCGTCTAAAATTTAAGTTTGTGAAGCTAATGAAGAAACACGTATATTAATAAGGCTGCTTCATCTGCTTGTGTGTAACTATCCAAGTACTTGCATGGTGTGACTATTTTACTATGTATCTTGTGTGACTTTGATTAGATTTTTTTTTTTCGTTTTGTCAAAGGATATCTTTTGTGGTGCATATATCTGTGGGAGTACAAAATTAAGAGATTGTTTCCATGTTAATTTAATACAGTATTAATAAGGAGAAGATCTTTACTGCATAATATTTAATGCTAATAAACCATAATTTTTTCTGCTCTTTAACTGGCCTTTAAAGTAGGAGAGAAATCACTGTGCTTTAAAATCCTTGACATTCAGACCTCCTACTGGCAGCACCAAAGGTGACATCCACTTTCAATAATATTGTAGCTGCCAGCAGGTTTAAAATTTATTTTAGTTAACTTAATTATAAATATAATTTACATTTTCTAAATAGCGAAAAGTGATTCTCACCAATGTGCTTTCAAGAGGAGCAAAAGGAATGTAGGTTTTTATTGCAGGAGTGTGATAAGTAGATGATTTTAATATACCATGTGCTACAATAATTATGTACGCTGGAACAGGAGGAGACTGCAGTATCCATCTTAAATTTCTTTTGTATTGATTTTGGACCCTATTCCTCTTTCTGTTGAAGTTATTGACTTCACAGGGAGTAAGGTTGGGTGTTTGGCTAGTACCCTTCACGCATTTGAAGCAGTAGTTTGTTGGGGGGGGGCGGGGGGGAAAGAACCTTTATCTTTCTGCCCAAACAAAATAGTTTTTCGCAGTTCAGTTGTAGACCCTTATTTTCAGGCTGAATTGATTTAAGTTTTTGGGGATCTTTGAAAGATGCATCGTATGTTTTATAAAAAGGACATTGGAGATGGCCTGTAACTACTGCATGAAGCATTGGTGTAAATGAGGGCAGAATTTTGGTCCTCAAAATTTATTTTTGAAACTTTAAGCAAATATAAGGTTCCTGCATTATTTTGGGCTGGAGTAAATAAATGCATGGCTAATTTAAATCTATATTGGATTTCTCTATATTTGTTATCTTTTTTAAAAAAAAACAGTGCAAAGCAGCATTATGTTTTAAGTTGCCAAATCATGCATAAACAAAGTAATCAAGAATAGAGAATATTAGCTTTTTTAATCCTGCTATTCTTTCTTTGCTATGTTATGCACCCTTTTAAAAAGAAGTTAGCTTTCAAGTTTGCTAAATTAGTTTCTTGTATGTCCACTGGTGCCATTTGATTAACCTTCTCATTCCAAATGATAGAGACAACTACCAAGAGTTCTTGTACCCTTTTTTCCTTACTTGCTAGTTCCTCCTGTTGACTGAACTGACACCTCAATCTTGTCTACTGCCTCTGCTTAGAAAAAGGGAGCTTCCTCATCTGAGTCTCTGAGAGCATATGTTTTGGATTCTTTTTTTAACCTCTTCCCTCACTTTCATCCTAACTGAAAGGAAATTGACCTCCTAAGTAGAAGTGAGAGCGTTTTGGGGAATTCCCTTAGCAGTAGAGGTCTGCCCAAGTGCTTCTTCCTGCTGCAGTTATTAGTGGTTTCAGTGGGACTTCAAAGAGACATATCTTGTGCTCAGCAATGCCTAGTGCAGAAGTGACCTTGAGGCCACTTCTGTTTTCCAGGCTTATTGGGAACTATTTAGGAAAAATTCTACAAGATCCAGTTTTTAATAGATCAGCTCCTAAACCCACAGCAATGTGTCTGCAGCCTAATTTCTGTAACTGATTGATAAAGTGGTCTTGTATATGGATAAGACTCTTTGGAAAATGTTACATTTCCAACCTTTTTCCAGAATTTTTTCATTAGAAGCTGGAATTTCCAGGCTCTGGAAGTGTCTTACGCACTTCCTCAGTAACACATTCCCTTTATTTATTTATTTATTTATTTATTATAAGAAATCCAAATGCAACATTCTCATCATCTGTCTGAATCATGAAGAACACCATTTGGAGTGTGGAATCAAGATAGATTTATTTCTGGGTCATTGCAAGTAGACGTTCCTGGAAGGTTGCAGCATGATCAATTTTCTGGAATTTTGGTGTAGGAAACTCCGTCAATATACTGCTCCTCTGGATTCCTCAACATTATGTCTTTTCACATAAAAAGAGGGAACAACTATGGTCCCATAATCACAGAATGGGGTGAACAGCGTACTCCCTAAATCTGTAAGCCAGCAAATTTCTTCTCAATCACAACCATTTATGTTCAGTGCAAAATACCTGCAAGCAGCAGGAAAAAGGGAGCACCATCAGAAAAATCTCTGATCAGGTAACATCCACATGGTACTATGCAGAAGCAGAATTATTTGCAGCGTTCAGCTTGGTAGGGCAGTCCTAAGATTCGCTCTTAATATTTCATCTTCAAAGATGGAAGACTGGCATGCTCTTATT